AGTTGTACTTGAACTTATGAATAGAGTAAGGAATACATTTTTTTTCTTCCCTGTGTTTCATGGATTAGTTTTTCTTTACCCTGGAGACGCAACATGATAGGAATGATGAAGGTCATGGTCAATGGGGTCCACACACCTCTCTTCAGTGACAGCTGCATCCTAAGCCAAAATGGTTTGATGCACCTGGCCAGAAGGATCAAAGAAGTGGCCAGGAGCCACAAAACACATTTTTATTTGATTTATCAAGTTTAATCCATTTTCCCCATCTGTGAACATGAGTTTTAAAGACATCTTTACTTATCTTTTACTGTTATGTGCAACTCTATGGGTCAGCCTTCTGACACCATGTATGATATCCTTGAAAGTCTTTTCCATTGAATTTTCTATGGCTAATTTTTTACCAGGTAGGTCACCAGATTGGTCTTCAGCCCTTCTGAGTTGCTTGGCTTGGGACCAGCATTCAGAATGTTATAACACATGTGCATTTGTACGCACCAACTGGGGCCACTTTATACAGGATACAGATTTTTTTCACTTTAGATTCCTAAGTATGAAAAAAATATTCTCAATCTCTACTTACCATCTACCATTCCAGAACTGTCCCCAGGTTCCTTCTTGGTTTAGTCTTCATGTAGAACACTTGCGTCATTCTGCCCATTTCCTGTTAGACCAGCTTGCTGTTTACATGCATCCATGGGCTCACAGTATTCCATTAAGCCGGCCATACATGGATTGAAATTCGTCTATTTCAGCAGAACAGGCCATAATTCCATCCATCTATGGGCAGGATGATTGTACCCAAGTTGATCAATTGATCGACTTGGGTACAACCAGCCTTTTGGTTTTGCTAACAATAATTATTGTGTTCTGCCAGCCAGGAAGGCGGCCCCCACTGGTAGAACATATTGTCGCTGTGGGAGGTATTCCCCCCACCAACACTGACTGGGTTGATGAGGGAAGCAAACAATTTTCTTTCCTTCCACCCTTGGTGCGAGTGGCATGGATCTTTCTACTTTTTTTTTTTTCTGTAGCCATATTTTGTGACCTGTCTGGATTTATCTGTAAAGTATGAACACTTTAAAGTGTTCATAGCAGAGAAGTACACAACTGATACTGCATATCCAAGCAATGCAGATAAGAGAATCCTGATTGTTTATAGACCCATCTACTAATGCTAATCATTCAGATTGACGCAGGCGATGACCACCTAGTACCCCAGGCTTTCCTTTAGAATTGTATCAAGACTAAGAAAAAGGCATCTTGCATTTCCCATCTCAAATACGACTATTGTGAACATGCCAGTGTCCTATTTACCCAGGGTAAACACAGTAATCTTTTTTGAGAGCATTGTTTCCGCTGACCAAGCCAAAATTTGTTCTGCAAGACTTTTGGGAAGGGTGTGGAGGAACAAAAGCATGTTTGTATCTGTGTCTTTAGAAAGTGAATGAAGTCTTGTTATTGCTGTGATTATCCCTTTTCCTTTTCCATGTTTTAAAGCCTACATCTTTTTTTCTCCTTGTAACATGTGTGCTGTGCATTTCCTCAGTTAAATATAATTACCTTTATTTCCCTGTATGTGTGATTCTTTACTTTGCGGTGTGCGCTCAGTACCAGCTTTAGTTTGGTGGGTTTTTTTTTGTTTCGTTTACTGGTTGGGGTGGGTGAAGTTTACACAGTCGCTATCTGTGTGCAAAGAAAACTGGCTTCTGGAATCCCCCTAAATTGACTGTAACTGCCCATCATGCGCAGTGCAGCTCACCGCAGCTTTAGCCTGTAATCAGCCCCGCCTATACAACACTAAAATCAGAGGAATAGGAGTAGTTACAGAATTATATAGAAACTAATGTCACACAATGTGAAAAATTAAAGTGTAATTCCAGTTTAACACGAACTAATTTTTAAAAACTGCCTGCTCCCCCCTTCCTAATACCTATGCTTACTGACCCTGATGTATATTCATTACTTAACCTATTGTCATCTCACTCCAGTCTCGTCTTGTGGTGCCCTGAGTAAGCCAATGGAGGCTGCAGGGGAGAGGAGAGAGTGCTCTGACAGCAGGTGGTAAAGGCTGAAACAGTTATGTCACCCATAGGCTTCAATGGACTATGTCTTGTCGGCGTTCCCTCCTCTTCCCTGCAGCTGCTTCTGGCCAACATAGGGGAGCCGGATCATGTGATCTGAGCGGGCTGAAAATGGGTTAATAAACATAGGCAGGGCTGCTGTTAGAAATCATGGGGCCCAATACAGCCAACCTGACAGCCCCCTCCCAAAAAAAAAAAAAGTTTACTATGGTTCAGTTTACTCATCGTGTTCATTCATGATAGGAATGATGAAGGTCATGGTCAATGGGGTCCACACACCTCTCTTCAGTGACAGCTGCATCCTAAGCCAAAATGGTTTGATGCACCTGGCCAGAAGGATCAAAGAAGTGGCCCCCTCCCAAAAAAAAAAAAGTTTACTATGGTTCAGTTTACTCATCGTGTTCATTCAGGTGAGGAAGGGGTGAGTAAATGTGACCTATTTACCAAACTCTCCCCTACTATCCATCCTGAAGGATCCTATTGTGTGCCTGCAGCTGTTGGTGCGAAGGAGAGGAGGGAAGCCGGAAGCACTGCCAGGGATGGGGACACACGGGGGCCTGCAGGGGGAAATGTATGGTGCACAGGGAGGGTGATGGGTGTGGTGGGTGGCAATTACTGGAACTGATCCCTGTATGGCTCTCTGCAGCAGCTGAAAGCCAGCGGGTGGGAGGTGAGAAGAAGCCAGCTTTGAGCTGCTGCAGAGAGAGACGTTCATGGGATCGCTCTTAGTATTTGGCCCCCACCGTGCCGATCACCCTTCCTGCCCACATCTGATTCATCCAGCTGTCTGGGTCCTTACAGAAGGACTGTTGGTACCCCCTTATCCACAACCCTGAGCATAGGTGTTAGGAAGGGGGGGGGGGGGGGGGGCAGACAGTTTTAAGAGGTGTTAGGGTTAAGCTGGAAAACCTTAAAGCCATTCTCTGAGCAAAAAAAAAAGTTTTCCCATGCAGTGGGGCTGTGCAGGTCTGCAGCTTGTTTTGTCTACTCACCTAATCCTTCATTCCATCAGAAAACTGTGCTCCCCCGCAGTCCGGCAGTGGACACACAATTCAAGACACAGCAGCGAGGGGGTGCCAGAACTGGACTTGTGCTTGGAGGACTAGAGGATTAGATACGTAAATCACCTTTCTCCTCTCCTAGACAAAAATGAGCAGCTGACCTGTGCAGTGCAGGCACAGCCCCTAAGTGAAAATGTCCAAATTGGGCCCAATTAGCCATTTTCTCTCCCCGGTGTCATGTGACTCGTTAGTGTTACAAGGTCTCAGGTGTGAATAGGGAGCAGGTGTGTTAAATTTGGTGTTAACGCTCTCACTCTCTCTCTTATGGACACATAGAGCGGACTCAGGAGTGAGTGCGCACCAATGCCTCCATAGCAAGTGGCTTGTTATTGGGGGCACTGGTCAACAGGGAGGAGCCGGGGGACCCGAGAAAAAGCGGATCGAGGCTGCTCTGTGCAAAACTGTTGCACAGAGCAGGTAAGTAGGACATGTTTTTTGTGTGTGTGATACATAGTTACATAGTTAGTCTGGCTGAAAAAAGACAAAGGTCCATCCAGTTCAACCATTAAAAGAAAAAAAAAGTTATAATCCTATACCCACAGTTGATCCAGAGGAAGGCAAACAAACCCCCAGCAAAGCACGATCCAATTTGCTCCTGCAAGGAGAAAAATTCCTGATCCTCTGAGATGCAATCTCGTGTGTGTTTTCTTAAGACAAACCTTTAGAATGACTTTTATTATTATTATTTATTATTATACAGGATTTATATAACGCCAACAGTTTGCTCAGCGCTTTACAATATAACGGGAGACAATACAGCAACAATACAGTTCAATACAAGAGGGTTAGGAGGGCCCTGATCCTGGGAGCTTACAATCTAAGAGATAACATGGTGAATACTTTGCAGGGGTCAGGAGTATAGTGTAGCATTATTATTATTATTATTATTATTATACAGGACTTATATAGCGCCAACAGTTTGTTCAGCACTTTACAATATAACGGGAGACAATACAGCAACAATACAGTCCAATACAAGAGGGATAGGAGGGCCTGATCCTGGGAGCTTACAATCTAAGAGGGACTTTAATGCATTTTTTAAAGCTCAAGCAATGTAAGTACTTTGCTGACTTTACATTGGCTTCCTTCAAACCACTGTACAGCAAAATGTAGGTTGGGGGAGGGAAAAGCAGCACAAGGAACCAATCAGATCCAATCACAGGTTGGAGGAGGGACAAGACCTGTAAGTGTTACTGAAGTGCAGCAGAGAAAAATCAGGTGGTCTCCCCCGCCACACAGGGATGTGTTGTGCGGCAGAGCTGTGTAAATCTCAGAACGGATGGAAAGAAATACAAATTATCTTTCAGCAGGTAAAATGGCTCTGTTTATATAGGTTTCATCTGTGTATTTAACCAGGTGGCCTGGAGTTCAGCTTTAAATGCTATAAAGGAAAAATCTCATCTTGTCCAGAAGACATATTTAAGCCATAAATATATTTACTTCATTGCTTATCATCCGACACATTGTACAGAATTTTAAAAATATAATTAATCAGTATGCGGTTGTTCAGACAAATGTGAATTATGTTTGCTTAAAAAAAAAAAAAAAAAGTCTAAGTGCTATTTAAAGGAGAGTGTGATTGCCAAAGGAGCTGACCTTTAGCAAGGTTGATTATGCTGAAAGTTTGAGTTCAAGTGACTACGTTAGATAAAATCAGTGTTCTTCATATTCAAGGTTCGTTCTGCAGAACCGCGAGCCTGCGTCTCGGAGAATGCTAACCATGTGTTGACAGGTTGGCTGTGGCTGCTGCGCGTGTCCCGTTCTGTTACTTTTCTGTCTGCAGCCTGTCTCATTGATAACCTGCGTGCTCTGCACCCCAGACTCTCCTCTCATTAGCATTGTCTTGTTTTCCTTGCAGAAGTGCCTAGCTGCCATTCCATTTACATGAGGCAAGAAGCTTTTCTGGCTCATCCCAATGGCACAGAAGGTATTTGATTGTACAGCTGTTCTGTTCTTTTTCAGCACTCAGTGACAATCTATCAATACCTAACTCTTTTTTTATTTTTTTTTTCTCCTTTTTTTTTTTAATTACCTTCCAGGTTGCATATATGAAAAAGGTCCTCGACAATTCTATGATGACACCTGTGTGGTCCCTGAAAAATTTGAAGGTATGCGTGTTACGCAACTGAGTCTACCAACGTAGAGCCCATTATAATTTTGTCAAAATGGTCCCCCAGGAAGTTTTTAAAACAGAAAAATCAGCTCTCGTTGCTATACTCCCCTTTTATTTGGGCATTGTTGCCTACAGTAATTCCTTTCCACCACTAGATGTCCTCAGTCCTGTGGGTTGAATGACACCCAGCATCATTCAACCCTGAGGACTGATGGTATCCTGTGAGTGCAGGGCATCATGGGCCCTGAGGCAGTGCTGCGACAAGGTCATATAGAACCCAAGGTACACATGCCAAATTGTACTCCTAAAGATATATGAGCATTATGTGTCGGCAATCAACCCCCCCAAAAAAAACATAAATTCTGCATGCCTGCTCCCTAAGCATAATTTTCCCCTTCTCCTAGTACAAGTCCACCCTCTGCTGAAACACCGCCTCCCGGTACAAATCTTTGCCCCCCCATCCCCCATGCATAAACAACCCCTCCCTCCTCCTAAAAATTCACCCCTCCTAGCAGAAATACTCTATCCCTCAATGTTCCCCTTCGAGTATACAACCACCCCCCCCCCCCCCCCGCTTTAAGTCCCCTCCTCCCAGCACAAATCCCCTCCAATCCCCCGTCCCAGCAAAAATGCCCCCCCCCCAAGTTTCCCCTCCTAGCACAATTCCCCACCCCCCAAATCCCCCCCTAACACATCCTCATCCTCCTAAATCACTACACCTAACACCCCACCCACACTCAAATTTCCTCTCCTAGAGCAATTTGTACCCTCTGCCTCCCCCCAAACTACCCCTCCCAGCACAAATCCTCTCCCCCATCAATTTCCTTGCAGCACCCCCCCTCCACCTCTCATGATACCACAGTGCTCAGGGTAGCTGCTCCTCCTGCCCCTCCCTTGTCCTGGCCCTGCCGTGCCCTGCGAGGACAGCACCCTGCTCCTAGGATATTGATGCGAACGCTAACTTGATCATGAGAAATCATGGTGCCCCATGAAGACTACCTGACCGTGTCATCATTCTTATCTCAGCAAACAAGGAAGCCCATATTTGTCTAAATATACACTCGGCAACCAAAAATGTGGGATACGACTCTTAACATCACCCATAAGTGTATTCCAATAGTACTCGCCTCCTCCTCCCACTCTACTGTGCCAGACCCACATGTGAACTCCTTGGAATATAATGGAAAATTCCGGTCAGCCACACATTACAAATTTACCTTTCTTGAAAATCTTCATAAAACCAAAGCATCTTATAGCAAATGTGTTTTTTTGCCTAATCAGCGCTTACTCATAGCTAAAAACGGCCATGCCCAGTGCACTTGCAGGAGGCTGGAAGTGCAAGTTGTACACCATGGGTATCTCTATTAGGCACTGTAGGCTCCTGATGGAAGGATATAATTTAGGACCACCCACTTCCCCTAGAGTTTCCCTAATCGGGTAACCACTCCCTGCCATGTAACAAGGCAGAATAAGGCCCAGGCCCCACTGTTGAGCCAAAGATGCCTAAGTTATATGTGGGACGGCTGTATGGGAAACCATCAAATTCCATCTTGATTAAAAATTTAATTCAAACTGTAATAAAGTAACCATTACTCTTGCTATGCCATCTAACTGAATCGGTGCATTTAGAATGTTGTAAGCTCTTTAATGTTCTCTTGGCTATCACAACCCTATGGCAATCCTTAGATGGCAGCTGTGAAAACTCAGTGTAAAAATCCACTTTACTTTCAGGAGTCTGATTTGCAGTCCTGTTCTGCCTTCAGCCTACTTGATACAATGGCATTATTCCATTACCTACTGACTGAAAACATTTTTTATGCTCAGGTTCTCATAGAGGGGAAAGCAATAGGCACAGAATGAGTCACTTTACGTTCTTTTAAAATATTCCTTTCCTAAGAGAAAGATGAAGGATACGATTTCCACTGGGAAAAGAAGTGTAGAAAAATCTCCAGCAGGGACACAGGTCGCTTTTCCCAAACTCTTAAAGATGAATGTCCTGTTAAATAAAAGCATTTACTGTAGGAGACTCTGCTGCTAGACCATTTATTTCAACAAACATTTCCTAATGCCTATTATTTACCTGTAAATCCTTCCTTGTGTAGTCATGAGAGTACATCTGGGTGCTGCCATCTTGGATGTGATGTCAGCAGGTTGAGCAGTCACTCACGTTACAGCAGATTCAGAGAGGTCACTTAAGTTGCAATAGTATTCCCCTTCTCTCCTACCCTGGCAGGAGGCCGTGTAGGGAGGGCGATGGGAGAGGTGGAGGAGCTGGGCTAGCACAGACAGCATCTAGACACTTCCAAAAAGGAGGGCTATGACATGCAAGAAGGGAGGGGGCTAAGTTAGGGAACTGACACTTCCTGAACTAGTTCAAAGTATATTGCAAGTCATTAAAAATACTTAAGTTTTCATGTGAAGAGGAAGAAAAGAAAAAGAAAAAGCACTCCAAAGAGGCAGCCCGAGTATGAAGAAGAGTCAAAACAGCTTAAGCCTGGCTCCTCGCAGGCCATGCCCTGATGCAGTTTGCCCCACCCACAGAGCTTAGCCCCTATGACTAAACCGTGTGGTTGGGGTGAAACACATTAGGCATGGCCTGGGAGGAGCCGGGCTGAAGCCTTTTTGACTACTCTTCATACTCGGGCTGCTTCTTTTGGAGTGCGGCTCTTTTTCTTCCTCTTCAAATGTATGCACAGAATAGGAAGAGCTCTTTTCAGCACCGGCACCCACTTTCAATTCAAGTCATCAAAGCCATGTTGGGATGATTGCTTTGAGCGGCACCCATAAGCTTTTACAAGGTGTATGGTCACTTAATTATTTTATATGCGTGTTTTTAATTAGTGACAGGTTCTCTTTAAAAGAGGTATTTCACCTTCCCAACTCTATCCAATGTCAAGAAATGGGGTTTGGCTAGGGATAAGCGTCTTTTTTTTTTTTTTTTTTTTTTAAGTAAGCTGTTTTATAATGGATGACAGGCTATACAAATATAAACTGTGTGGTTTTGCTAAAGTGCATGATTTGTAAATGAAGCGTTATTAGTGTCTTTTGACGGCTGTTCCTTCGTGTTTTACTTGCAAATCATTTAGAAGACCATTCACGTACACCTTCAGCTGGATCACTGCTAATACTTAGCCGAGAGCACACTAAAACTGTTTAAAAGCATAATTGAGTCTCCCTCTGCCCTTTTCCTGGGTTATTAGACCTTTATAGGGGGTCAGATGTGTTTGGTCCAAAAATGTCCGCGTGTTTTTGTTGATCTATTACAGCCCCAGATTTCTATAGGCTCAGAAGAACTGCAGTGTTCCACATTAGCCACACTAATAGTTTATAGTGCAGACACAAGTTTATTCCAGTGTAAAATCAGGAGGAAGACCAAACAACTGTAGCGCCCTCTAGGTTTAGCTAGAGGGCTTTGATATTTTTGTGAGTATTGTTAGAAGCCTGAGATGAATCAGCCTGGGCGTGAGGTAGAGAGGTCACCTCAGGACAGGCTGGGAGGCTATACAGGTCAGGGCTTCTACAGCCCTCCCACCCTTCTAGAAACTGGAGGAACTTTCTAGAAGAGGGGTGGAGGTGAGGAAGCCTGGATTTGCATGTTTTAGGGAACTTGGCCAATCCCCAAGCAGGATGCCGGGCATGGTGGCTAAGAGCAACTCTTAAATGTGGCAGAACCTGTGCAGCAGGGGAGTTGGGTGGAAGATGGACTGAGAGAAGGTGCTGGAGTGTTGAGCCTGGGAGGGGGTCATAGGGAGAGGGGCCTACCTACAGGCTGGTGCTGGATGGAAGGACAGACCTCCACTGTGCCATAAGTCTCCTGAGGAGGACATCCTGTCAGCAGGGAAGGAGCCAGCCCAGCATAACGCCTGAAAGCCGCTGCAACTCAGCAAGCTGACAGGACAGTGTGAGTACTTCTACACACCCTGGAAGAGGGTGGTCAGGTGCAATACCCAACTAGTTCTCATCCAGAACTACTTAATTGCAGATCTTGGAATCCCTTGCCCAGGGATACCCTCAGGACAGCTCGGTGAAGGAGGAAGGGTTCATCTGGGGTCTGAAGAGGTACATCTAAGGGGACATCAGTGCAATTAATGAGATAGTTTCTATTTTTTTGGTCCACATTTTTTGTACAGTGTTTGCTGAGAAGGTGTCCTTGAGGTTTACAGTTCCTTGGGCATCCCATGTACCCCTAGACCCCATCCAAGTTGTTAACCCCTAATAAAAACAGCAAAACCAAGCTCAAGGACTGTTTTACTGAGACTGTGTGTGAAGATGTGGAAAATGCGTGATGTCTGGCTGTGCAGAGCTTAAGGGGACCCATCAAATTCAATGACCCCTAAGCCAAAACTTGCTCCTTCATTAATGCTTTAGAATAGGAAGCAATGTATGTATGGATTAGTATGAAGGTACAATATATATAGTTGGAGTTATATATTATATACATTGTACTTGTACCATTGTTGAGAAACCGTGCATAAACCACTGTCAAACTATTGGGAAGTAACACTAATAGGATAAAGCTGGCCATAGATGGAGTGATTTTCTTTCCTGCAACCTGTGGAAACAGCTGTTGGCAATAATCGCATGTAAAATCATTGATCCACTTGGGAACATTTAGCCTGCCCATACATTTTTTGCATCTCAGCCGGTCCCTGCTGAACTGGCCGAGATTCAAACCGTCTATGACTGTCTTTATTAAAGGGTTCCAGTTCTACCTAACCATTTCCCTGAGATTCAGACAATAAGTATCTGATGGGTTCTAGACCTAGACAAAAATGGCCAGAACACCAGGAAATGTAGACCTCTAGTTTTTACTGGGATCTTAGTAGCAAAACATAGCTTGAGCAATAAAAAATATGATATGTAAGAAACACAGAGGTCTCCGTTCTCAACACCTGTCACTTTGAGGAAGAGGATTTCTGGGTCTCCAAAACAGGGAAGATCTCAGTAAAAATTTGAGATTCACTTTTCCTGATGTGCTGACCATTTTTTGTCTATGGTTCTTCATTGTATCTCCGTTAGCCATGCACCCTTTATTAGGCATGAAAGGTGAAGGTGCGAGAAGGATGTTTTGCCAAGGGTTCTAACCCATCCATACTCCATCCAAAACAAACAAAAACATTTGTATAAATGACTTGCAGGCCCCATGCGCACTCTTGATTGGCTCCAGTGTTTTGGTGCAGAGAGAAGACAGGGAGCACCGTCCAGCTCTGCTACTGGGAGCCTGTAAAATCCTGAGGCTAAAAGTTGATGAGGATGGACTTTGCATAGAGTGCTACTAACATTCAGAGCAGTATGTGACCAGGGATGCAGGCCCGGAACACAGTATTTTTGGGTGCATACTGCTCTATATGTTAGCACTAGGTGCACTGTTCAGCTGCAGAGTTTTACAGACTGCCGGTAGTGGGGCTGGATGTTTTACCTTTGCCTTCAACTCAGATCTAAATGCCGGAATCTAATGCATCGGACCCAAATTCCCAGTGTACATGGGATCTAAAATCTGGCGCCTACTGTTCCTTTTAAACCCCAGTAATGTGTTGTAACCAGTCAGCTCATATCCCTGGTGCCCAACCTGAAATCTAAGGGCCACATGCAACCCTTTGGTGTCTGCAGTGCTGCCCTTGGACCCTAGCAGTCAGTAGTTGGAGCGTTGATTTGTAGAGGGGCTGTATTAGAAATGATCTCATGTAACATGTCATTATAGCACATCCAGAATGTGACAGTTTCCTTTACTAGGTCTGCACTTTGGCAGTCTTCTGCAGCATTACCTATAATGAAATATTGTGTGGCCCCTTGATAATGTCAGGGGGGCCCCCCTATACCTTGAAAATTGACAGCCAATGGCTCAGATCTTACTGCAGGAGCTGCTGTCGCCTGACCTTGGCATGTTCCTGTTGCTTGTGCGTCGATTTATTGAGTAAGCCTGGTGTTGGGACTGGTTGAAAGGAAAGTGGGAATTGTTTTGAACTGCCGTTATTATGTGTGCTGCACCACTGAACTCAAAATGAAATTTATGTGTGAAGTGGACGGTTGTCTCATGAGGGACACTGTGCTATGACTGACTGCAAGAGGTGTAAATGATCTGCTAGTTATTGTTCAAACATCATGGTGATAAAAAAAAGATGTTCTTGTTAGTGGTTTAGCATTGTTACTGTTTGTGGAAGAGAAGGAATACATCAGAGTATATTTGTTTTTTGGACATGATTTTCTTAAGGAGGTCTGTCAACAACATAAAAAAAAATTACAGGTAAAAGCACACAAAAATCAAGTATTTCAAATGCTTACCACCCAACACATATATATGGGGGAAAAAGGGTGGAGTTTAACGCTTGCTACTAAAGTTGACTAGTCTATTTCCTAGCAAAGCCCCTTCCCTTCTTGTTTGTCATAACCCTCTCCTTTTTCTGAGAGTGTCTAATTACTGTCTATGGTTGCCTTGCTCCTCTTCCAATCCCTTCTCTTAATAACCTTTTATGTAGCTGCGGGTGGGGGGGAGCAAAGGGGAAATACTAGAGTGTCAATTGGGTTTCAGTTCAAAATCTGCTGGGGCTGCTGACCTCACATCCAAGGTGACAGAACACAGAAGCAATCTGAGTACTCTTGGATGTCTACGCAAGGCTTTTACAGTGAAACAAAAATGCATAATATGTTAAATGCACATATAGTCTTATGAGAATATTTTTGTTGAAATAAATGGTCTGGGGCAAGGTCTCTTCAATGTAGATCTGGGCAATCAATGTATATAGATTTACCTAGAGTTTACTGGAAGCTTGACAGCAGTGTTGCACATCTATGTTTTAATGTAAAAACTCTTAACAAGTATGCTATTTTATTGTCTGTTGCAGGCGACATTAAACAGGAGCCAGGTTTGTACCGCGAAGGACCCACTTATCAGAGGAGAGGGTCCCTTCAGCTGTGGCAGTTCTTAGTCGCACTTCTAGATGACCCAGCCAATTCCCATTTCATTGCCTGGACAGGCCGAGGCATGGAGTTCAAGCTAATTGAGCCAGAGGAGGTTTGTACATCAACTGATTTTGATGTGTTTCAGTGTAACAGAGTGGTTTTGCCCATCTTCCATAATGACTGGACATGATAGCTTCTGCTTGAGGTCAATCTTATGTGTTCATATTCCTTTAACAAGTGTGTGGGAGAAGCAGGCTGGATCAAATTCTTCACCCAGAGACTTGTTTAGTTCTCATACTACAATCTGTGTTTTGTTCCACTGACTCTAGTCTTGGTTGTTTATGTCATAAATCTCCAAAACCACAAACACAGGGTTTTATATGGGTATCTGTGCCCTATTGGACCCAAATTCCAGAATGTAATCTCGACTAGATGTAGAATTATTCTTTGTTATGTCTAGTCCTTCAGTTAAGTCACACCACATTTTGTTAGAGCACATAAAGGACAATCTCAAAATAGTTCTTTTGGGCACCTCCATATTCTATCAGAGGACACAGAGGATAGTCTCAAGATAGCTCCTCATTTCGCTTCCATATTTTATCAGAGCACAGTCCCAAGTCATCTCCTCTAGTCACCTCCATAATCTATCAGAGGATAGTCTGACAGAATATGGAGATGAGTTAAGGAGCAGTCTTCAGACTATCCTCTGATAAAATACGGATGTGACTTGAAAAGCTGTCTTGAAACTGTCCTCTGATATAATATAGAGGTGAGTTCAGGAGCGGTCTTGAGACTATCCTCTGTGTCTTCTGATAGAATATGGAGGTGACTTGCAAAGCTATCTTGAGACATCCTCTGAAGACTGCTCCTTAACTCATCTCCATATTCTGTCAGAGGACAGTCTCAAGATAGCTCCTCAAGTCACCTCCATATTATATGAAGATAGTTTCAAAACCGCTCCTCAAGTCACCTCCATGTTATATCAGAGAATAGTCTCAAGACAGCTCCTCAAGTCACCTCCATATTATATCAGAGAATAGTCTCAAGACAGCTCCTCAAGTCACCTCCATATTATATCAGGAGTCCCAAGATAGCTCCTCACCTTCATATTCTATTGGAGGACACAAAGGACAATCTTTAAATAGTTCCTCAAGTCACCAGAGTTTCTCTTTGTAACAGTCTGATTCATTCACTGTTTCATCCTTCCTCTTCATGGAACCGACTTGGGCTGACCCATTTGTTTTACCTTTAGTACATTCACAGGATCATGCATGCTGTCACATTTTCTTCACTCTCTGCATCCACCCCATATCCTCTTCCCTTCACTATGTTCACAGGATCTTTCTAGGATGCTAGATAATAAAGCAATGTCCAAGTGATGGCTAATATTTGCAAAAATAATCTTCACTATAAATTCAATATAGATCAGTGGTCTCCTGGGGGCCAGATGCAGCCCTTTGCTTACCTTTTTCCAGCCCTTGGGGCACTATTCATCCCACTGATATCAGACACAAGTCTATCCACTGACACCAATAATGATGCATTATTCCTGCCACTGACTTCAACAGTGGGGCACTATTTGTCCCCTAATACCAAAGATTGGACACTTGCTTACTTTCATTGATGCCAGAAAAATTTCTATTCCTGCTGGCCACAGTCCGCCCTCCCTCCTAAGGTCTGAAGAGTGTAAACTGGCCCTTTGTTTAGAAAGGTTGGAGACCCCGATATTGACAATCAAATGGATCAGTTAGCCTTTATCCTTAATATACCACAGTGACATGGCAAAATGCACATCTCCAGCAATCCCAATGGTACAGTCAGGGTTCCCCTTTAATGCAGACCCACATTCATGTTACTTTCAATATTCTACAGCAAATAGGCTTATTAGGGATAGGAAAGCTTAACCACTCTTTATCAATTCCATTTAGCCAGGCTTGTGAGCTCATTTCCGGTTGGCATGTTTGGCCCTGTGCATATACTGACTTTTTTTAGTCTTTGCATTGGATTTGGGAAGGGGGCAGGGTTCTGGTAGCAGGTTGTAACAATGGGCAGTGCTGAGAAGGTAAGAGGGGGCATTGGCCTGTTGTGCCTACAGCAGTTAAATTACTTTTCTGGGTCTTTCTGCGTCTAGAACTATTTCTCTGCTCTGTATGGCTGGATAATCTGCGCTTGAGCAAAAAAATTCTGTGACAGATCATCATGTTAACTTTTTTGATTTTCAATGGATGCTTACTTTAAATGAGTAATTTTACTAAAAAGGTTGGTCACTCAATTGTTTGATTTACAGTGTATAAAAAGATTGAAAAAAAACTCCAGTCAGGCCGATCACTTGGCTTTTGATGTAGTTCCTCAAAATCTGCAGCAAAGGCATGCTGAACTGGTCTAGTTTCAATCAGAAAATCATGTTGATCTTTGCATCAGTCATATAAATATGTGCATAGCCAGCTTTTTATATTGGTGACCTCAGAAATATAAAAATAGTTCTCATCTTTCAGTAAAGATTGTTTTTAATAACACCCTAATAAATTAAAGGGTCCATCCACCAAAAATGGTGATTTTGTTATAGAAGAAGTCTGTTCCAAAAGGGTCGAATATCTGGCTGCTCGTCCCTATATGAATGCATGTACTCAAAGAACCCCCAGTGGGACTTTAATGCAGCAATAGGATCATTTACATATAAAAAAAAGAGACATTTGATTAAAAAAGATTTTGATCAACTTTATTACATACACATCTCCATTTATAATACTAAATACATGATTTCTAAAAATAATATAAATTATTCTTTTTAGAAATCATGTATTTAATATTACAATGGAAATGTGTATGTAATAAAGTTGATAAAAATCTTTTTTAACCAAATGTCTCTTTCAAGATATATATGATCCTATTGCTGCATTAAAGTCCCACTGCGGGCAGGGGTGTATTTACCACAAGGCACTTGCCTAGGGTGGCATTTTTCAGGGGGGCAGCACCTCCCCTCAAAAGAAGGGATGGAAGAAGGGACATGCACACCATTTGAACCAGGTGGGATCTGAGAGGCTGTAGGCTGCTTGATGGTGTATGTAGAGCCAGACTCTCGTTCCTGGGAATGTCTGGAGCTGTGAAGATGGGTGTCTTTCTTTCTATCACGGGGGGTTGTAGTGTAGAAGGTTCTCCCAGGTCGGTGGCAAGGGTGTTTTTGGTCAATGTCAGGCTCTCTCCATGAGAGGGGGAAGGGGGGGTGGTATTGGTCGTATCCATGGGGGTAGACGATTTTTGTGTTGCTTAGGGCAGCACAAAACCTAAATACACCACTGACTGGGGGTTCTTTGGGTACATAGAAGAAGTCTGTTAGGTTTCTTTAACCCCTGGTTACTTGTATGTCTTGGATGTTCAAACTGTGAGATCTCCTGGCTATTAATACCTGACCTTGCTCCTGTCCACCTGAGATCTTCCCAATAGAGATAGAGGTGTATTCCAGAGAGTTTAACTCCATTTACCAAACACTGAAATATCAATTTCGGAAGATCTGACCCTCTAACAGTTTTGCTGATGGCCGTATCAGAATGTAAATTCATGGCTGCGCTAATGAAGCTATGGCTTGTTTACATTTTTAAAAGCCAACTTTTGGCTCTCTAACATGTTAATGCTAATTGATGATTTTCTTTACCAAACTGACCTCGCTTGACTGCCTTGTAGTAAGTGGCACAGAAGGTCTACCTTTGTTGCAGTAGTACGCCTTCTGCACATTTGTATCAATATATTCTGATCAGTGTAGCTTTCTTTTACAAATTAAATACCAGTTGTAGAAATGATTTTGCATTAGAATGTCTGGCTCTAAAGCAATGACTAATGTATCTTAATGAGCCTTTGCATTAAGGTTTGGGATTTTGAAAGGCAAGGTCATACAGCTACAGTCTATAGTTAAAGTGAACCTGCCAGACTATGCATACTAAATTATTTACAAATTCTGGAGAAGCAGTAAAATCACTAATCAAAGTGCTCATTTACCTTTGTCTCTACAAGCAGTGTGAATAAATTCATTTTCAGAGTTCACAACACTGTGTTTTTCTATGAGAACAGGCAGCCTGCCAACAGTCTAATGTGAACAACCTGGAGGCATTGCTAAAACAGAGAGCCTCTGGACTTTGGACTCTTTGTAGTGATCTTTGAGAATGAATAACTTCACATAGATGACGATGATGACCTCACTGGTTCTAAAATAAGATATGTAATGAAAATGTAAAGGTTCCAATTGAACATTTCATTAGCATGTTGATGGGGGAAGTGGGAAGGAGGAACCAGGGAAGACAAAATATCAGCTAAATAAAAGTAATCTTTAAGTAGTTATAGATGTATATCTTTTTTTTTTTTTTCTTTTTTAAATAGGTGGCACGACGATGGGGCATTCAAAAAAACAGGCCAGCTATGAACTATGATAAGCTCAGCCGTTCACTGAGATACTACTATGAGAAGGGAATTATGCAGAAGGTGAGACAGTTTGTCTTGATGATTTATAAACAATTTGTTTGTGTTTGCGTATATATCTCTAGCCAATGCTTACATCTGTGTTTGTTTTTTAATTTTATTTAGTTTTTTTTTTTTTTTTTTTTTATTTGTTGTCCATTGGTCTGATTGCCCTTTAATTGACTAAAGTAGAAAAAAAAATGTAAAAAGTCACCAGCTGTTCGGTTTGGCTGTGCCTATAATAAAAATAAAAATGCTTTGGAAGGTAAAGAACAGCTCATATATATGTATTAGCAAAATAAATATATATATAAATTAAGCTAAGCTCCAGGGAAACAGCTCAAAATATATATAAGTAATACATATAACGATAAAATAATATATACAATTATTATTAATATTATTTATATATATATATATATATATATATATATACACACTAATAAATATATTTATTACTACTACTATGAGAAAGGAATTATGCAGAAGGTGAGACAGTTTGTCTTGATAATTTTTATAAAAAAAATTTCGTGTTTGCGTATATCTCTAGCCATTGGTTACATCTCTGTTTGTTTTTTAATTTTATTTAGTTTTTTTTTTTTTTTTATTTGTTGTCCATTGGTGAGATTGCCCTTTAATTGACTAAAGTAGAAAAAAATTTAAAAAGTCACCAGCTGTTTGGTATGGCTGTGCCTATAATAAAAATAAAAATTATTTGGAAGGTAAAGAACAGTTCATATATATGTATTAGCAAAATAAATATAATTAAGCTAAGCTCCAGGGAAACAGCTCAAAATATATATAAATAATACATATAACAATAAAATAATATATACAATTATTATTAAATATTATTTATATATATATATATATATACACACACACACTCACACTAATATATTTATTACTACTACTACGAGAAGGGAATTATGCAGAAGGTGAGACAGTTTGTCTTGATGATTTATAAAAAGATTTTTGTGTTTGCGTATATCTCTAGCCAATGGTTACATCTGTGTTTGTTTTTTAATTTTATTTAGTTTTTTTTTTTTTTATTTGTTGTCCATTGGTACGATTACCCTTTAATTGACTAAAGTAGAAAAAAATTTAAAAAGTCACCAGCTGTCTGGTATGGCTGTGCCTATAATAAAATAAAAATTCTTTGGAAGGTAAAAAACAGCTCATATATATGTATTAGCAAAATAAATATATATAAATTAAGCTAAGCTCCAGGGAAACAGCTCAAAATATATATAAATAATACATATAACGATAAAATAATATATACAATTATTAGTAATATGAGATATATATATATATATATATATATATATATATATATATATATATATATATATATATATATATATACACACACACACACACACTAAGACATAAAGATATATAAATATATTTATTACTCTATCAAAAAAAAAAAAAAATATATATATATATATATATATATAATATCAGAGAAATAGCTAAAAATATATGCATATATATCTTTATTAATAATTATATATTAAAAAAATATATATTTGTGTGTGTATATTGAGCTATTTTCCTGGAGTTTAGCATTAAACATTAATAAAATGGGGGAAAGAAATATAAGCTATAAATTCTCAGATTAATAATGCAAGAAACACATTTTTATAGACACACATTTTTTTTTTGCCTTCAAGGTTGCCGGAGAAAGATATGTGTACAAATTTGTATGCGACCCAGAAGCCCTTTTCTCCATGGCCTTCCCAGACAATCAGCGACCATTATTGAAAACGGACATGGAGAGGCACGTCAACGAGGAAGACACTGTACCGCTGTCACACTTTGACGAGAACATCCCCTACATGCAAGATGGTGGTTACTGTAACACTCACCCATACAATGAAGGATACGTTTACTAGACAGACGATGAAACCTTTTCACTTTTCTTCGCCAGGCCCAAGAAAAGCAAAATATACTTTTTTTTATAAAATATATATATAAATATATTTAGTAGTTCCTAATTGGGCTTTTCCTGTTGCATATCTCAATTGGTCTGCCATGGACAGAGCACTTTACTTATGGGACTCGGGATAAAACAATGTATGTAACAGAGTGATAAAAGAAGATGGAAATATTCATTTATGCTCGGGAAGGGAACTTAAAGCTTACGGTACTACATTACAAGTCATGTCTGTATTTACTTTTTTTTTTTTTTTTCCTGTTTTTAAATCTCATAATATATTGTACATTATTTTCTTTTTAAAAGCATGGGTACAGTTAACTTGTATTGCTTAAATAGCTGTATGAAGATTGTCCGTCGTTCTTTCCATTATTAAGGGTACTGGAGGTAAATCTATTGTTCTGCCAAATTCAGGACTGTAAGGCAAGGCTGCTAAAAGATCAGCTTTGTGGAGAGTATTACGTACTTACTTTGCTCCCTTTTCGGCTCTTCAGGCTTTAAGAAATCTCCATTATTCCAAAATGTCAAATTGTAAGATTTATTTTCTAGGCGACTAAATATGTTTTAAAGAGACACTTGTAAAACCCCTTATTGCCATGCAAACCCTGATACTCCCCTTGCCAATGCTTCCTCAACTGCTCCATCAAAACCCAGTGATTCCAGGTATTGGGCGAACATGTGACCTCCACGGGTGCTCTCGTCTAGCTGACAATGCCTAAACTGAACTACTGTCACAGTCACTGGTGGAGTGAAGTCACCTCTCTCCTTTGCGTCCGACACAGTCACCATTAGGAACTTTAGTGCTAGGTGCAACGCTAGCAAGGTGAGTAGCAGGAGGGGGGCAGGGTGTTTGAAGAATGATTTTGCTTTGCCCTGAATGGACAAATTGACCATGTCTCTTTTAAGGATTGACTATCTTGAGCTGAAAGGAAGAAGCTGTGATTGTGGACCCCCTTTTTGAAAATTCTACCACTATGTAATAGTATTGCAAGCATAGATGAAATCTAGATGGTTTATCTGGGGGTTTATCTAGATGGTTTATCTGAGGGCTCCATAATTCATCAAAGATGGATTTCGTATTCGCCCAAAGGCAGACCTACAGGTTCCTGTTGCATGACTTTGTGCTATGCAACCTTCCACTCTGTGAACTACCAATGGCGGTGCTTTAGTTAGGTCATGCTTGGTCTGGTTGTGCGTAGTCTCAGATTTAGGGCTGTTCCAAAAAATAAGGGGTTTCACAAGCATGGCCTCTAGCTGCAAAGGACAGAACTTAGGGGAACATAGCAAGTAAGCCTTATCCCTGGAGTGAATGTAATAGCTTGCTTGAAAGGGATGTACCTTGAACTGGTTGAACAATGGAACAAGTCAGTTTTTGTTAATACAGTTTCACAAAGTTGACCTTTTGCCTCAGGATTATTTTTATAAAGGTGGAGTTGGATTCCAAATATTATAATACAGAATATTCAATCTCCATTTGTAGCATACATTTTAATATGTCTTGAAGGAGTTTCTCATTTTCTGAAAAAGTAAAGTCTTCCCACTCTATTGACCATCAATGCCATGAATGTGCCAAAACTGAGGTTTTCATTATTTCCCAACTGTCTTCAGTGTCTGTAGACAAATGGTGGGGCTTTATCTACAGAAGGTGAACCTTCTGGACAGAAATGGGCTTTCTCATTTCAGTTGCTTAGAAAGATTCCTAATTTTCATTTCCAAAATTTTGCCAAATGCCACACATTATAAGAGAGCCAGGTTCTCCATTTAATAAATTTCAATATTCTGATGAAAATGGAAAACTCCTTTTAATCTGAATAAAAATCTTAAATACAAGTTTCAGTATATGTATTAGGTACTGCTTGTGTTAAGAAGGAAACAAATGTTTTCTGACCCCTGTATACTATTTTAACTAATCTTTAAGAAGAATGCAATACCATTTTAACTAATTTTTGAGTAGAATGTCATTGTCTTTAGTTGTCAACTCCACCAATGTAATACATCTCTGGGTTGTAATTTGACTGTTCATAGAAGAAAATGGATTATTACCAAGCTGTCCACTCATGCTGTAATTGGGTCACCTGGTTGTTGAAATGGTTCAAAAAACTATATTTCCTACAACTGATTTGGCTTCCAAGTACTGCCAGCACTTTATGTTGTTTCTTGGCAGCTCTGTTCCTAAACAGGCACAAGATCCCAACCAGAAATTTTACATTAGTGGAGGATTCAGCTTAAGAAAAGAGGTCGTTGTTGCAAGGCAAATGTTTGTAGTAAAATGTTTAACAAATTTATATGCAAACTTGAGCCTCTTGGTTGAATTGAACTTTTATCATTATTAGTGTCTCCAAATTTGAGAATTGGCAGAGTAAGGTAGGGGAGTGTACATACTTGTCCTGTATTCTCTAATCTACATTAACAGTGTCTTTGTGACCTGTAGCCAGTGCCTTGTTATGCCAGGGTGTTGGAAATTTTTGTTATAAACTACTCTCCCCTTCCCAAAAATAAATTCTGTTATTGAATGTAATCCAAAGTACGGCCACAGTGATGGTCTTCCTAAGGTCGCCACTGTTTTTTGTCATCTGCTTGTGTATTTGTCAAGAAAAAGACCTATTTTTACTTGGGCTGCCATTTTGGCTTCCTGTGTGGCATAAACACTTGGAATCTAATATAGAAGAAGTCTAGAATGTCCTTGAGGAAACCCTTACCAAAGGCCAGCACTCAAGACATACCTGTCACCCTAATACAATGCTGGCAAATATGTTGATTGAGCTTGTATAGACCATTATAAAATTAGAGTGTCACTGTTTCTGAGGCGGAACACTTTGAAATGTTGGTACTACCAACAAAATAGTCATTTAATAACCTATGGAGAAAAAAATGGTATCAGGAAAGCCTCCCTTTTAAAGGTTAACTCCGCTCACGGGTTTGATTGGATGGGGTAGGTGGTTTACCTCTGCATCAAGTGCTGCTGTTCCAAAGTACCAAGTAGCCTACGTCTAACATTCTCCTCAAACTATTTTGCCTGGGCTTCAAGATTTATCACAGACTTAAGAAAGGACTGAGGAATTTTTAATATTGAATAAGAAAGACTTCGAGGACCTGTCACTTTTGAAATGGTGTGTTGGAAAGTCATGAATTTCCTTGAGTCGGGGCTATGATGTTGAGCATGTTCAACTCCTTCGGCCCTAGCAAAGCTACCAATGCCGTGCAGCAAACCATATGTTGGTGTTTTCAATCCTTTCCAATGTTATATCAAGCATGGGAGGATGAACGTTTTTTGAAGGATATTTGATACAGAACAAGGACACATTGTTTAGCAGGTATTGGATACAGAGGCTGCATTTCACCTGCATTCTAAATGTTCTTCCAGAAGGCGGATATTCAAGGAAACCATCAGACAGCCACCAGGAGCCACCAGGAGGGAGCAAGGAAAATTCATAGGAATGGATGTTGGTTATATTTTGGTGCATGCTGTGCCAATACAGACCCAATGAACAAACCTGTGTGAACTTTCCAGTGCTTGGCATTTGGGGGGGGGGATGTGGTAAAAGTAAAAGAAAAATAAGTGTTAAGGGGCCCCCTTGTAACCATGATGTGAACAGCGTTTCACTGTTAACTGAAATGACGAATGTCCTAACTTTGACATAATAGACCACCAGACTTTTAACTGAAAGTCCAACTCCTCCTCATAACTTTCAACACACTCAATAAGAAGCTAGATATTTCAGCAGTGACAGGTCCTCTTTAAAGAACAGTGGATTAGAAGACCGATCTTATTTCTACCTTAAGTTAAAGTGTGGAACCAGAAATGGTACGTGGCCACTGGAATGTAATCTTCTAACCTGTACCCCAGGGTCAGTTACTCATTACAGTACATCTGTCATGAGAGTAAGATGTGGACTCAGATCACTAATCTCTCCTTTTAATAAAAACAAAAACGGCTATTTTCTTGGCTGTCATTCTGATGCATGGTTTCACTGGGTATTTGCAAATCAAAAGTTTTGCTTTCCCTCCGGTATTCATGCTTTGTGATTCTGTGACTCCTCAATACTTGAGCCAGGCAACTAGTATTTTTGAAAGGAGGCAGACACCATATAATTTTACTTAAAGCCCACTTTGTTCCTTGTGATCTGTTATGTAATTTACTGCATTTGCAATAATCTGCTGTTCATTTTACTAAACGCTCTTAAGTGTTAACCCCTATGCTGGCAGCACATAAAATAGTTGGACCACGGTTCCCACTGACAAAGCAATGACCCGGCTCTCCAGCTATCCGAAGCATCTTCTGAACACTCCAATCTACCGCACTCGTACTCCCTGAGCAGTGCTGTTAACCACTTGCCGTCCGCCTGCTGTTTTATAAACGGCAGGACGGTGGCACTCCAGGGGCGGGTTGCCGTTTATAAACGGCACCCGCTATTTCTAGCTGTGCGTGCTCCCTTGGAGCACGCAGCACCGTGATCCGGTGCCCGCTGTGTCCTCCGGACACAGTGAAACACTGATCGTCGGACAGGACCTCTGTACGAGGTCCCGATCGTGTGATCACTGATAGGCCAATCAGTGATCACCTGCAAAGTAGTAAGCAAGATGTCACTTGTGACAGCATTGCTTACTACGTGTGAAATCTGTGAATTATCACAGAGGTCACATGGTAGAGGGCTATTCACAACAGCCTTGTACCATGTGACAAGCTGTGACCAATCACAGCTCACTCAGTACTTCTCAATGGCTGCAAGAATGCAGACAGAGAGAAAAAGAATTGATTGCTTTTACACCCTATATGGGTGTAAAAGCAATCACTGTAACAAAAAAAAAAAAAAAAAAAAAAAATCTTCATCACCCCCCACAAGTAGTACAGTGTCACCATGGTGACACTGTACTGCTAGGGTGACAGTATGTGTATTAAAAAAAAAAAAACCCATAAATAATAATATAAAATATAAAAATGTAAAACGAAATGTTTAA